TTCGGAGTTGGCTACCAAATAGTTACAATTGAAATCTTCTGGAAAACAAATATGAATCTGGTTAATGAGACAAGTCTGCCATGTTGATGAAAATAAATGTTAAGTTTATTCTAATAGAGTTCCAGAAGCACAATCCATTTAGAGGAGTATTGTATATCTGTTCCAACTATCTCATTGCATGAAATATGAAAATGCATTTGAGTTGTGCATGGCATTTTACAAATAATCTAAACTTTAATCATGGTTCAAGATCTAAAGGGTAATTTTCATAAGAAAAAATTATGCATTTTTGGAATGAAATTTGTGCTCCCTGCCTTTTTTTTTTTTTTTTTTAACTGTATTCTTGGTATCTCTTCATATCCAAAGGTTTGGTCTGGACTTGGCAAATTCTGTGATTTCCTTAGATTTCTGTTCAATACTGTCAGGAATTTTTTTTTTTTTTTTTTGTGAGGCCTTCATCCTCTGAATATATTTCTAAGTACTTAGAAAAGACACCAATATGTGGGATTCAGGGTTGTTTTAGTGTCGTTTCTCCAGCTTCATCTTTGCCCAGTGGATGAGGAAAGGCCAGAAGCTGTACCATGCTACTCCACGTTGAAGTAAAAGCTTTTAGAGGTCTGATTTTTGTCCCATAGATGAACATTTTAGAGTAATTTAAAAATAACTGAGGATTTTGTTTGGTTCCACAGATTGTTTACATTTTTACTTGAAAAACGGAAGGAAAAGAAACACAGGACAGCAAAATAAAATCCCAGGGTACACCATTAAGAAATTGCACTTTTGAGATTCCTGCCTAACCTGCATCTGTTTTTCTTGCATATTATTCTAATTAGCTTGGATCTCTCTCACATTCCTGTTTACATTTCTTTTTAATGGGTCTTTCTGATTCAATATTTTCCCTTCTATTTACAAATTTAATGCAAAGTGGCATGTGGTGTGAGGTGCCAGATGTGGATTGCTTTCCTGCCTCTGAAGCAAATAACACACAGAATAAGTGCAAGTATTAGGGAAAAGAGCAGTACCTTGTATTTGATTGGAATCATAGTTCAGAAAATACAGACAACTATTCAGAAGAAAACCTGTGTTTTCTAATAGTAAGGGCATAATATTTTAAGAAAAAATAAAATGTAGGATGAGAATAATTATGAAAATAAAAAAAGCAAGCAAAAATTGATAATATTTTACCAGTATAACTGTATAGTTTTCAAAACAGTTGCAACAATGGTGGTAGCCAAACCAAGCATGCATTCTTATGTTTGCTATATTTTTGGTCTTTCTAATCAGCTCTGACAATTCTAGCCTATTATGCTATGTTATATTGAAAAGAATTATATTATTGTAATAAAATCAGTTATAAGTATACACATCTCTGCACTTTTTAGATATTCTCATTGAATACAGTATAGCTAACAGAAGTGATGCTTTCAAAATGAATTATAGCAACTAAAAAGTTTCTGAATAGCAGTAAGGAATAAGGTAAGTATAGCAGTAAGAAATATGGTAAGTAAAACATGCTGCTGTGAATTTTATAGCCAGATGATACAGAATTCCAGTAGAAGAAAACATTTCTATTTTATAGAATTACAGAGCAAATGCTCTAGTTCTTGCCAGGAGAACACTCACTGGTTGTGGAATGGGGTAAAAGATGTTAAGTTAGCAGCAGTGTAATTGTCCCTGGTTGAATTTGTACATTTTAACAGCTTTAATAGATAATCTGTGTTCCTTCTGGTTTGTGATGTTGCTTATACCTGCTTGCTTTTAAGAAGGTCAAGAATTTTTTTCTTTCCATCAGTCTGCAAAAGGCAGTCCCCATAAGAATTTTTCCACCATACATATCATGATGGTAAGAGTTGGGATCTGAGTCCCTGGTCCAGACTGAGGACCTACATACAGACTTCAAATGTGGCAAATACAGGAAGATATGATATGCCAGCAAATAGGCTGGTAATGAAGAAGCAAAAGTAAAATGGTTTGTTTGATTGTTATGAATGTTCTCATAAGATGGGCATTTAAAAATTAAGAGAGTTCAACTTTTCAATTTTTTGAAAGATATATAAATACTTATGTTGGTCAAAATGGATAATTTTTTTTTTTTTTGGTGGAACTTTTTGATGTATTCTGGAACAGATGAACTCATTATTTATCCAGATACTTAAGGACTAAACTGAACAGGGATTTGTGTGTGTGTGTGTGTGTGTGTTTCTGAATAAACCTGGTTATTCTGTTTCTGTGTTTCTGTGTTTGCTGGTTTCTAGTTCCCATGTCCTGTGGGAACAAAGAGGAATTTATTTTTATTGTTTGATTTTCAACATGAGAAGCTTCTTCTAACTGTCAGGGAAATGCCCTTCCTAAACCACGATAAATCAAAACGTGACAATTGGTTCTTAGGCTGTTTTTGTTACTGTTGCAGACCTAATCCCCCTATAGGAATATTCCCATATGAGTGTGATAGATCTATTTTCCATCTTCTGTTATACATTGTGAGTCTTTTTGGTGTACTCAGCATGCAATTTAAAGCCTGATTTTTTACCAATGCAAGGTGATCTAATGTTGTAAAATATTTGAATGGTATAAAGGGACATTAACAAAATAAAGTTTTTCTATGCAAGTGGTGCAAAGAAATGAGGAATTAGTCTTGCAGATTGTTACTCCTGTAGTCTGGTAAAGGGTGACTATTGTACTTGCTGGCACATGGAAGTGTCTCAAGGTATTGAGTGGTACAGTAGCACTGAGCACGAGCCTCATATTCGATAATATTTATATTGCAGATATGCTTTGTCTTTTCCAATTCTTATTTCCACTGTTTAACACCATGTTTCAGCATGCCTTTGTAGCAGGTTGCAAACTGACTGCTTTGCTAGCTAACTTGGCAATTCAAATTTGAAGTCTCTGTTCTGTAATTCCTCTGGTAGGTTGCCTGTTTTATATGTTTTTCTCTTCAAGATAAGTAATACAGTTTGTCATTTTCCAGATCTGGGACCTTTGCTTTTCTCCATTAGTTCTGAAGAATAATAGCCAGCAACTCCAACACTATTTCTGCAAGTTCCATTAACACTCTGGGATATATTCCATCTGAATTCTGTGAATTTTCTTTTGTTGCAATAAATGTATTGTATATTAAAAGATCAGTTATTGCATTACTTAAGAAAGTCTGGGTAAATCTGTTCTGATGGATTATTTAGAAAGAAAGCTAGGAATGTGTGTATTAGTGTCTGGATGGCAAAGTGAGAGTTGGATTTAGGAAGGACAACTGAACTGCTGCAGTGATTCCAAGGGACAGAAATGTAGCATAGCACAACACCAGCAGCTGAACTGGCAAAGGGTGCATCTAGGGATGCTGCACACAAGTTAATTGTTTTATAAATAAATAACTTTAATTATTTATATAAATAAATAACTTGTAGTTAAAATTGGAATAGTGACCAAAAAAATCTATTTTGAAAATTCTTATTGTTAGAATGAAAGTGCTCCTTGGTTCTAAACCTGACCCTTCCCTAGTACCTCTGCTTGATTAGTCCTGCATCTTCATTTTGAAGTCAAGTTTTAATGAACTTTGTTGTCCTTTCTCCTTGTCATGTGTTATGTACATTTAATTATGATATCGGAGATCAATGATCCTTACATTTATTTTCCTAGACTATATCACTCCATGACAAGATTTTGAAATGCTTTTAAGCAGTTTTGCCCTTCAGCTGTAAATTGTGATTCTGTACTTCTTCATTAATGATCTTGGAGTGCTTACATAACTACTTAAGAGAAAATATTAAATGTAAGATGGTTCCATTAATTTAAGAGCAGGGACATTCTATTTAGACTCCCTTTCCTTGCTCAAGGAGTACAGCATTTTTCATTTTGATAAATGATTTACCCTGTTATAACTTTTTTAACTAATGGATATAGAAAAAAAACCCTGTTAAATAAAAATGATATGACAAAAAAGTATGACATTCACTTTATTTTATACAGAAATGAGTGTAGCACAAAGTGATTTTATTGAACTGTAACAACAAAACATTGGAAGTTCAGTGCTGAATTGGCCTTGAAATTTATTTCTTGTGTCACGTAAAGATCCTTTTGCCTCCAAATGTAGGTTCAGTTAAAGACCCACACCACGAGCAGTGCAGTGCTATAAGGCATTAGGTTCCTTTCCATTTTCTGATGGGTTCATCAGGTGTTCTTATCCTGAGCACCAGTTTCAGTGTCCCAGATGTGTCTTGCAGTTCAGATGTTAATCAGAAGGGAGAACTGCCTCCCTTCTCACCTCTGACATGCTTCCAGAGAGGTTATTACAGCTGTTGGCACAAAAAGATCATATCCAGAAATTTGTTTTGCTTTAACTGTTCCTGTGGTCAGGAAGAAGGCTATTGTTTCCATCCAAGGAAGTGAACAGTGTATAAAGTGTAGGGATAAGAGTTTCTTACTAGAAATTTTAGCACTTTCTGGTTTGGGATTCTGTTTGTTTGGTTTTTTTATTTGTTTTTAATAGGTTTCTGTGAACAAATATTTAATTTAACCAAGTAATTTAATGGTCTATCATCAGGTGTGTTACAGTTTGTGATCAATAAGCAACAAGTATCAAGACTGAGATTTTCAAAGAGTCTGAAGAATAATTACACATTTATCTCCAAGTTCTGAATGCCTTTGAAAATTTTAGTCATGCTTATCACTGGACTCTACTCAGAAAAGATTGGATTGTATTATTTAGAGAGTGTCATCTGCATATTGAACTAGCTGAAGTACTAGAACAGTAATGAATTAAATCTCTCCAATCTAGACACCTTTGTACTGTTTTTAATCACATCCAGCAGCTCCACAGTTTATGAGCCTACATACATCTCAACCTTTTAACTTGCTGAAGCTCCCAGTTCCATCCTAATGTGTTTCACTTAAGTAATAAAAGTAAAGATATCAGTACAGGTTATTACTGTGAATGTCAATTGCATTTATATGTATATCAGAGCAAAGATACTGGTCATTATACACTTTTTTCCCTTTTTTTTCAGCTTCAACTGCTGATGTAAGAAGCATCAAAAAGCATCAAGCATTTGAAATTACTTTCACATTATTTCCTTTTCTTGCTGCAAAGCTGAAGAACCTGATTACAGTGCTGCTACCATAGGTGCATCATTTCACGGATGAAAAAGATGGATCCAAGATATTAGGTAAAATTTTCAACTTCTCAGAAGGATATTAATGTAATGAAGGGCATAAAGTTTTTGTACCTTCGACATCATCTGTTGGAGCCTGTGTATATGGTATACATGTCTCCACAAACAAATTTGCTATCACCACCCTTGCTGCTGAAGAACTGATGTATACTTTCCAAAATCAAGTTAGTTTACCTACTGGCTTTCCACAGGGTGAGATAAAATCCTTCGCTTCCAAGACAAACCCTACCAGTTCAGCAACTGAACATCACCCTTAACCTGTAACAGTTTTTCTATGTGAGTTAATATTAAGCAGAGCATCTTCGGTTGCAATCCTTTTGAAGGTTCAAATTTGGGGGCAGATATGTTTTTCTGGCACTTTTTTTGTCAGGATCATAGGCAGAGTAACTCCACATCTACTTCTGGATGTGTAGAAAGAAACCACAGTGTGTATGCTGAAGTGGGGAGGTGGAAGGGATAGAGGAGAGAAGGATGTCTCTCCAGGTTGTGCTAGCACTGAGAGCTTCTGCAAAGTCTAAGCCGATACACTTAGCCTGTCTCAGGAATGATTCAACTGAGGAATGGATGAAGGCTGCAGTAAGGGTTTGTATAAGCAGGAGGGAGATCAAAATAAAAGCAAACAAAGAAATCAAAAACCTCCACAAAACTATGACGTGTAGAAGGCTTTAGTCCTTAATGTCAGAATAAAAATATTTTTCCTGACAAGAAGTTTGGAGTCAGATAAAACATCAGAATAAAGTCTGTATGCAAAATGGTCCATGGTTTACGCTTCTTATACCCTTCCCCCTTGCTTTACCAGGTAATAGCAGCCAAACTGTATTTTAGAAATTCAACGCAAAAATCTTGTCAGTTACTCCCACACCTTCATGGGATTTTCCTGCAGTTCATTTACGCTCTAAACTTATTTCTAGGATTGGCCCAAAGACAGCACTCTGTAGGTTGCAGAAAGATGTGGAATTTAAGGACACTGAAGAGGAACACCCATCTCTACAAGAATGTTTCAAATGAATATGTTAAGTCAGAAGTTTGGTGGAGAGAAGGAATAAGTGGCAAAGGAGAGTGGGAGCCATCCCTTGTCCAGACGTTTAGTGTTCTTGTTCTGCATTAGGATGAAAAGAGAGTAGGTATGCTCATCCTTGGTACATTAACAAGACCTACTCCTTCTCCCATCACTTTTTACAAGTGTCCTCATGACAGCTGCAGTGCTGAAGAAATTACTATTCAAAAAATAACTTTCTATCTCACTTGAACTTCAAGTTGCCATATCTGTTTGAAAACTAATTTTTCATTACTATTTTTTCACAGATAATAATTCATGACTCTAGCAGCTGTAAGCCTGCCTCTGATTGAAAATGAAATGTCAAAGGATTTTTTTTACCTGCAGACATAAAAGGTACTTTTAAGGCAAATATACAAAAGCTTTCCCCTGTTTTTGATGTACCATTAGCACTGTCTTTAACTACACTTGAACTGTTACCATGATATGTTGAATTATACTTTCTTTGGGGCAGACCCTGTCTACTGGAAGCAGTCATAAATTCATTGATTTTAATGCAGGAAGGTTGGCATATAACACTTGTAGACAGGTGCCATGTCTGTGAGGTTACTGAAGTCTGCCAAGACCAAGTATTTAGCTGCTTACCTCATGCTGGTCAATATTCTAGATGACAGCTTTGCATTTAAAATGCTTATTTGGATCTTTGATAGCATATTGGTCTGTTCAATTTTGATTGCAACATTGACAAAAATAGTGGAGGAGACAAGAACAGATCTTCAAACGAGATTATGATGCATACAGTAAGATCTGCATCTGGAGGCTTTCGAGCTTTTCTGCGCAGTTGACCAGAGTGTTACATCTTCTTGAGTTACAGCAGTTATTAAACTGGTTGACAACAGTGATGCAGTTGTTGCCTTGAAAAGAGATTAGTCAATTGATGGAGGTCTTTCTGTAGCTCAGAGTCTCCTCTTCCAATAAGCATTTAGCTCTGCATAGCCCCAAAAATTTAATGTGTGTTCCACCGTTAATACTCATAAACACCACAATATTGATACACCCCGTTTTTGCTTACTGTGCCTGTTTCTGTGGCTTCTGAGATGCATTGAGCTTTTAGTGGGTAACTCTGAAACAGTGAACACCCACTTACCAACTCCTCTGTAGGCAGGGCTCTTACTATTTGATAAAGATCTAACCCAAGATAATAATGCTTCAGCTGTGACTATATTTAATTCACAAGTGGAAGTTCCCAAAGCCATATATTTACACCACATATGTAAATTATGGATTTTTCTTATTTTTCTAATAAGAATTCTACGTGTGCTTAAATGAGCAGGAATTAAGCTTTTAAAATTTTTGAGAAAAATAGTATTTTCATAGCATGTTTTCATAACAGTTTTGCACTTATATCAAGTATTATTGTTCCTACATTACCAGTAGGAACTGTGCTAACATCTATTTTAAGGATGAGTAATCTTTGCTGTATTTCTTAACTGGAAAATGAAATATAAGATTAATTTCCCCTTGGCAAAAAATGACCATATGAAAATGCATCCTCCTACTAAATTTATTTGCCAGATATTTTATTCAGATTGCTTTACCAATTAGAGAGTCAGGACATCAAGGTTTGATTCACATTGATTCATATTGTCACTGTGGTAAGTTTTGCAAGGATTTCAACTTTCCGTATATCCCAGTTTCAATATTTGAGAATGGGACAGTATTTCAAATTCCCTTTCTTGAAATGCTTTTAGGTGAAAGAAGGTATGGTTTCCTGATTTAAATAACAACATGGGTGATTGATCAATACTTTTATTTTACCATGTAAGCAATTTGAAGTAAACATTAAGCTGTCTAACACTATCAATGATGACATAGAGTTGGCTTTCCTTTATGAGGCTTGTGGTACAATATTTCCTCTTGATAGTTAAAGGAAGGACACAATTTTTATATTTTATCAACTATGGAAGTCTTGTTCCTCTATGGGACCAGAACATAGAGGTTTGGGAGTTTTTTTGACTGTAAAATAAGACTTTTTTCCAATGTTTTGCTGCAACAAAGAAGGGATTCCACAAAAACATTTAATGTTATTGTGCTTACTGGAAATATATATATACCTTGAAATTCTCAATATTGATAGTACAGCAATGGGTTTAGTATGGGTAATTTAAATGATTATAAAAGATTTTTGAAGACAAATCTTTCATTGAGAAACTAATTTAGAAACACACTGTTAGTACCAGAACCTCTCTGGCTCACAGGTGTAAAGAGTCTCTGCCAGGGTTGGTTTCCAGACACAATTCCATCAACCTTTCCTTTGGTTGCTAGACTAAAGTGTGATGAGAAGGCCCTGAGAGTCTCATGTCCTAGCAATTAGAGGAATTGTAATATAGTGTGGTCTTGCATGTGAGAAGAAGCTTTGTAAACAGGGGGTTAAAAATTCCCTGGGGAAAGAAAGAAGCAGAGAGGAAGCAATGTAAAATAGAAGGCTGAAGCACTCACACTTCAAGAGGTAGAGTGATTATTCTACTACCTGAGGAGGAGAGGATATGACAGGTGTTTTAATGTCTCTATGTAGTGCATGTTAGTTCTTTCTTTCAGCTTTGATGTGATTTTCCCAGTTTAATTTACATGATATAGCTTCAAAAATAATAATAAAAAAAGATATTGTAGAGCTATCATGGCAAGCTTTTCATATGGTGTCAGTTTGGGATAAAGGAATAAAAAGTTCTAATAATATCTTTCAAGCATTAATCTCTGCAAGATGTCATGAAGACCAGAATTAGAGCAATATGTGGTCTTTGCCATCTTTGACTGTTGTGACTCAAAGACACTTTTGATCACTTAAAAAGAAAATTCAACACTTAAAAAGCACACAAACCAGTAGAATTTCCACAACAATCCAGTTCCCCATTTACATCCCAACAGGGTCAATTTTCAATGCATTTCATATAAGAAAAAAATATACTGTTCTCATGATTGTTTGTGTGTGTAGCTCTGCACACCCCATGCTGTAAATATACCCCACAGTGTCAGATCCATGCTGTGACCAACAATATATGCCCAGTGGGCTAGGCTAGAAACATCTACTGTATGTTTTAGGGTCTTTCCTTGGCATTTTTGTAAAGCTGCTTCTTCCTCTGTGTTAGCCTGGCAGTATAGCTTTCTATAGTTTGGGGTATTATAAAGCTGTCCCTAAAAGGCATAGTGGAATGCAGCATTTGGATCCACAAATGAAAGCTCGAGCTCTCTGCTGAAAAGTCTTTGTTTTCTAAATGATTTCAGGGGTGCAGGAGGACAGAAAAGCTGCACAACAACACAAGTATTTGTAGAAGATGTAGATAATGCATTAGTGCCTCACTTCAGGTGAGATCTGGGGCTCTTTTACAGTGTGGCATTTCACGTTAGAGCACACCTTAGCTTCCTGAGCTGGGTTGGATATCAAAAGATTATGAAGTAAAATTCAGTCTCAAAGTCCTTTAAAAATATTGGAAATAACAGCTTGACTGCTCAGAAAGCGAGATTTTTTTTTTTTTTTTTTTTTCACAAAAAGGGAATGGCAGTGTATGAAATTTCTTTAGAAGAAGGGTAAAAGGGAGATGTCACATCTCTTCTAGTCCTATTTTCATATGGTTTTGGGAACATGGCACTCAGATTGGTAACAGATTAGAAATAAAATATATCACTTAATTTGAGAAAAGTCAACCCTTGACTAATTTTGTGTATAAGAGGTTCCTGGAGTGGCTGCATTTTTCTAAAATTTCTTCCGTCCTGTTGTAAAGCCAGAGTTTGAAATTGGACCTGTAAGCACATTTGTGATTAGTCAATTAAACCTCACTGTTCCATTTCTGTTTTCTGTTTTGATTAACAGAACTCACAAAAAACCCACTAGTAATGGAACATGAAAACTTCATGTTGACTTTCAGATAGGATTTGCATTACTCGAGCCTGTAGTGGACAGGCATGCCAAGGTAGTATTATGATAAAATGCCGCTAAGTACTGAAATTATTCGAAGCATGTGTTCACAGTGTTAAGCCTGAACCATTTTGAAGTGTTCTAGGACTATCTAGAATCCTAGAAATGCAGATTTCAGATAATGTCTAAACTATTCTACATCTACTAGACTAAGCTGGTGATTCTTAAATGTAAAGCATAATTCATTGCAACTTATGAGGACTAGTATTTGTGTAGCATTTCTTTTTCAGTTTTTGACAACAACCATAATATAATGCATCCACTAAGATTCCCAAAACACTTTAATAGTGAGAAATAGGGAATTGTATATTCATGTACATCCATTCTGTATAAATATATAATATATGAACATTATACATATGTAATTATTATTTATTTTATTACATCAAGTTCTTTAAGAAAAGTGCAGCTGCTGAATTTTAAAAAAATTTTATTTTTGACTGATGTATCTGGCACCCTTTTTTCAACATCCTTTGAAAGATGTCAGTACTCTTCAGTGATACTTTTTTTTGTTTAAAAATTCCTTCAGTGTATTTGAAACATGAATTTCAGACCCTTCAAAATAAAAGAGAAAAATTTTCATCAAGCTGTCACTTTTTTTAAAGTTCTACTTAACTGAAATTTCATTATTTCCCTGTAAACCAAGACAAATTTTAAAAATATCAAAGATAATAACCAAAATTATTTGTATGTTCCTTTCTTAACTGCTCTTTATTACTGGATTGGGATTTGCAATCCTTTTCCTGAAGCAAGGTATAGTCCTTTCTAAGAAACGATAATCAAGTAGTATAATAAAGAGATTTTTTGAAGTTTGTAATTTTAAATGAAATTACTCATCAATCTTATGGACCAAGAATGTCAGTCCTATTTGAAATCAAGGGTCATGTTAGTCTTTGTTAGAGAGTTTATAAAATCAAAGTATCTTAAAGGTCTGAAAAGATGTTACAAGTATATCGTATGGGATTCCAGTATGAATCTAGATAGAATTCTGCCCTTGAATTAAGGATTTAAAGTTCTGAGGAACATTGCTGATGAATTCATGTCAGAATAAGAAATATTTGTCCTACTCTGCAAATGCTCTGGAGGTAATTTATGTCCCAACAGTTACAAGCAGAAATCTGTGCTACAAAAAAGGAGTGAAAATCATTTTTGCTTTCAAATTAACCAGAAGGCTGGGACTTTTATTTAATCTAAAAAACTCTGCTTTTAGTTCTCCTGAACAGAAAAGATAATGAAATTGTCCCGTTTATTAACTATGGTAATTAACAATGGTACTGGTACTGGTCCTTTCATCAGAAATACAAGGAAAATATGTGGGTTTTGTTATAGTTCTAGCCTACTATTTGAGGACTCCCTTGAATAAAGATTTCATAATTCATATAAAATATTAAAGTGCATGTAGTTCTTTATGAAGAGCCAGTAGAGTAAGAAAACCAAGTTATCCCTAAATCCTTATATTAAAGCATCACATGCAAAAGGAAAATTTAAATTTTATCTTTTGTGGTTACTGGCATATATATGCAATCAGTAAATCAACTGATTTGCTAACATTTCTCACACTTCAAGGTAGATAGCAGGAGAAAATTCTAAGCAAATTCTAGCAGACATTCAGTTTGATTCTAGTGGTTGCAATAAGCCCTTGACTTCAGAGGACCATAATTGCCTCAAAGAAATTACTTCATGTATTATATCTATAGTAAATATAGAAAGACATGCAATTTTAATAACTTAAAAGCTTTGAAATTCCTCAGCAAGAAGAGCTGTATTTCAATTGTATTTCAAAATTCTGTTGGGAATGGGTTACAAGTGTAACCCTAAAATCAGATCCATTAGAAACCAAAATTGCAATATTACAGTTGAAGAACATGATAC